ATAAACTTGACAATGAAATGAGAATAAACAAGTGAAATAAATAAATCCTTAAAAGATACAAATTATGACAGCTCACTAAAAGTGAAATAGGGACTCTCAATAGTCCTATATTGATGTAAAAGGAATTAATGGTCCAAAAGTTCCACATGTAGAAAATTCAAGGTGCAAATACATGGCTTCACTGGTCAATTCTACCAAACATTTAAGGAAAACATTATACCAGTTCTGTACAAACTTACAAAACAAATAGAAGAGGAGGAAATACTTCCCAAGTCATTTATTAGGCCAGCACTTCCCTCAATTATAAACCAAACGAGGTTATTACCGGAAAAGAAAACCACAGACTAATGTCCCTTATGAACACAGGTGCAAAAATCCTCAACAAAATAGCAAATCATGTCTAGCAGTACATAAAAGGGTTAATACATCATGACCTATAGAGATTATCTAAGGAATGCAAGTTTGCTTCAACATTTGAACATCAAACAATGTAATTAACCATTCTGACAGACTAAAAAGAGCAAAACAGCATAATTATCTCCAAAAATGCAGAAGAAGCATTTGAGATTATTTAACACTCATTATAAAACTCAACATCCATTGTAAAAATTCTGAGCAAACTGGAAATAGACAGGAGCATCTTCAACCTGATAACAGACATCTACAAAAGCACCTGCCATTAATACACTTACTAATGAAGACTGGATGTTTCTCCCTAAGATCAGGAAAAAGGCGAGGTGTCCACCCTCATTATATTTCCGGACATTATACTGGCGGCTCTCTAGTGTGTAATTAGGCTATAAAAAGAAGCAAAATGCATCTAATTAGGAAAGGAGTGGAAAAAAAAAAACTCTTCAGTCACAGAAAATATGATTAGATAGAAAATTCTAAAGAATGTACAAAAAAATTGCTGTAACAATTAATGAAATTTAGCAAAGTCGCGGAACAAAAGGTCAAGGTACCGAAATCAATTCTATTTCCGTATGTTAGTAATAAACAACTGAATATTGATATGTGTATATTTTACATATATAAAACATCAATAATGCCGAATACTTAGGGATACATCTAACAAAACACGGGCAAGAGCTGTACGCTGAAAACTACAAAGCATTGCAGAGAGAAGTTAAAGATTTCTTTCAGAAGCCCTCGTTTCGAGAAGCTTACATTCTAGGGGAGGGGACGGGCACTAAATAAGATAAATAGGTTAAATATACATTATTTTAATAGTGAGTACGCCTAGGAAAATAAGGGATGAGGGTTATGAAAAATTGGAAGCAAGCCTATTGAGATTTCTAGATCTCATGGCCACGGAAGAGAGGGAAGTCTTCACTTAGAAGGAGGCTCCTGAGAAGAAAGCTGACAGGTGACAGTCTAGAGCTTTTCAAGCAAGAGGAAGACCAGTCATGAAGACCACGAAGCCAGCGTGTGCCTGGCGTGCTCATGGAAGGTGTAGACAGCAGTGGCAGTGTGGCTGGGGTGCACAGGGTCAAGAGGCCATACTTGGAGGTGGGGACCAAGGACTAGCCCCACTGCTCAGTGGGAGCTTTGACTTTTAGCCCACTGTGATGGAAGCCAAGGTGGTGTGGCTTCAAGCAGAGGGCAAGGTGATGATTCCTGTACTGAAAAGCTGGCCCCGGCCCCTGAAGCTAGAGTAGAGTGCAGGGGACAAAGTTAGAGCCTGGGGACACCGCTGGAAGGTTACTGCCATGGCCCGAGCGGAAGACTCATGCTGAGACCAGGGTGGTGGCGGGGGGAAGGAAAGCCTGTTCTGAATAGACTCTGATGATAGCCCAACAGTGGTTTCTGCTTGGCTAGATCTAAGATGTGTGAGACAGAGAGGAGAGGAAAGCCAGGAGTTTGCCCTGAGCGGCTGAGGGGGTGGGGTTGCTGGGGCTGGAGGGAGAAGGGACAGAATATGAGGGGCTGTATTGTATTCACGTTACCTTGAGTCTCCCACTTGACATTCGAGTGGAGGTGCCAGGGAAGCGGTGGGACATACACATCTGAAGGTCAGGGTCAAGTCCAGTTGGGTTCACAGGGTCTTGGACATGTGACGCTTGGAATCGTCAGCAGGTACTTGGATTTCATAGCCACGAGTGTGGATGGTGTCAGGAATGTGATTTCTGATAGGAAACCCAGTCATTTATGTTGGTTACTCCAACATTCAGAGGTCAGAGAAATGAAGGGAACCAGCGAATGTGCATGAAGAGAAGCATCGAGGAGGTACGAGAAAACCAGGTGTGCGTCCTAGAAGCCAAGTGGGGGCAGGGTTTTGAGGAGGAGCAAGTGATAAGTTGTGCCAAGAGGAGAATTGAGACATCATGACGACATTAAGCAAGTTAGTCTCTGGTCACCTTGAGAAGAGAAGTGGGGATAAAAACATGGTAGGAGTGAGCTTCAGAAAAAATAGAAAACTCAGCATAACAGGTACCTTCAAGGAGACAGGGATGGACAGTTTTCTAAAGATAAAATCCGCATTGCCAGAAATATCCAGTGAGGATCAAATGTGCCCGAGGCAGGGAAATAGGAACTAAACTCTCAGCGAGGCACCACCTGACATCCATCAGAGGGTCAAACGGAAGAGTGGATAGCAGCACTTCTGCCAGAGAAGGGAGAAAGGATGCATTCGCTCATCAGTAATGAGAGTGTTAATTCCAGAAACATTTCGAAAAGCAACTGGGCAATATCTATTTGCACTTTTTAAAAACTTGTGCATCATCAGCCCCACCCTTAGAAATGTGTTCCATAAAAAACAAACGTGGGTGAGGATTTTTATGGCAATGGTGCGTGTCGTAACTGTACTGGACACACATCCCAGCCCATCCTCGCCGCTCACAGCTTCTGTGTTTGCAGAGGCGGCCGTGTGCTAAACTGTGTCTGTAATGTCCAGACGAACACTCATGGTGCTTTTCCAGTCATTCCCAGATGTGTGCATAGTGGCCAAAAAATTGGGGTTCCAGATCTCATGCTGTGAACAGGTGTGTGTGTGTGTGTGTGTGTGTGTGTGTGTGTGTGTGTGTGGTCTGTGTCGTGCCCTGCTTTCCATGTTCTTTGTGCTTTTTCTTGGTGATTATGCTGTTTAAAATGGCCCCCAAGGATAATGCTGGAGTGCGGTAGTGTTCCGAAATGCAAGAAGGCTGTGATGTGCCATACGGAGAAGACACATTTGTGAGATGACTTGTTCAGGCTGAGTATAGTGTTGTTCACTATGAGTTCAGTGTCAGTGAGTCAACGGCATACAGTCAGTAAGATGTCTTGAAGGGCGCCTGGGTGGCTCAGTTGGTTAAGCATCTGACTTCAGCTCAGGTCGTGATCTCGCGGTTCATGAGTTCGAGCCTCGCATCGGGCTCTGTGCTGACAGCACGGAGCCTGGAGCCTGTTTCAGATTCTGTGTCTCCCTCTCTCTCTCTCTCTCTCTCTCTCTGTCTCTCTCTGTCTCTCTCCCTCTGCCCCTCTCCCACTCATACTCTGTCTCTCTCTCACAAATAAAATAAACATTAAAAAAAAACTTAAAAAATAAGATGTCTTTAAGCAGAAACACATGTGAAACAAGGTTATGTATAGATTGGTTGACCAAAGTATTGTGACCAGACCTTCACCAGAACCTAGCGCTGCGTTTCCCTAGGAACAGTGTGCTGCAGTTTTCCCTAACCCAGAGTTCGTGGGGACTTTCTAGAACATTACTGCCATGAATACCAAGAATCTCCTGTAACCACGCTTTAGTAAGGACTGAGTAAATCAAGAGAGATCCACACCATGTAGTTCTGTGCAAGCTCTGAAGGTCAGCACTTCAGGCCAAACCAATTGTTGCTCAAGAAAACCCAGGTGAGGGATGTATGGTGTGATGTCACTTTTTGTTGTGGTTACACATCTGTGTGTTTGCACGTGGCCGTATGATCGTTGGTAGGGTTGCCCGTGACAGGTGGACAGAGAGTGGGCGTGGGGTCTGCACAGCAGTGTGATCACAGCGGAGAAGGTTGTGGGGGGGAGTGGAAGGGAAATAGCCTTTCTGATGATTTCATGTGGGTAAGATTGCCTGTGTACCATGAAGATATTTGAAGGAAGAACCACAGCTGGTCCTCTGCACACGGACCGACTAGGGGGCCGGTGTCTATCATGGTGAAAAAGCAAGCTGCAAAACAATGTATAGAATGTAATTCTGCCTTTTAGGGACCATCTTCTTGGAGCCCCTGGGGGGCTCAGCCGGTTAAGTGTCTGACTTTGGCTCAGGTCATGATCTCATAGTCTGTGGGTTCCATCCCACGTCGGGTTCTGTGCTGATGGCTCAGAGCCTGGAGCCTGCTTCGGATTCTGTGTCTCGCTCTCTCTCTGCCCCTCCCCCGCTCATTCTCTCTCTCTCTCTCTCAGTCAAAAATAAATAAACATTAAAAAAATTGGGGGACCAGTCTGCTTAAAGTCAGCTTCTAAGTTTAAAGGTACAGAGAGGACAGAGTCTCGTGGGAAGGGATGATTGGTTTTCATCTTTACTTCTATTGACTTGTTTCCATAGATAACCGTAAGTATTGCTGTGTTGAAATTTGAAAAAAAAATGAACAAAATGTGCAAAAGTCTCAATTGCCTGAATATTATTCAGCAAAGAAAAGATATTGCCATCTTTAATAGACTTCAGCGAATTTATTGCATACAAATTATATTAGCAGATTTTGAAAACAGAAGCAGCAAGGACAGATTCACTACAAGATTCTGAGCTATGTTACATGTCACACGTTAAAGTTCTTTGTGTTTAGGGGCGCCTGGGTGGCTCAGTCAGTTAAGCAGCTGACTTCAGCTCAGGTCATGATCTCACAGTTCACAAGTTCGAGCCCCACGTCGGGCTCATGTGCTGACAGCTCAGAACCTGGAGCCTGCTTCGGATTCTGTGTCTCCTTCTCTCTCTCTCTCTGCTCCTCCCCTGCTCACACTCCGTCTCTCTCTGTCTCAAAAATAGATTAAATGTTAAAAAAAATAAAATTATTTGTGTTTTTTTTTCCTTTTAGGAATCATTAAGAGCCATCCGATATGAAATCTCTCCAGATAAGGAATATGCTCTGTTTTCATACAACGTGGAGCCAGTGAGTACCGTTCTTTTCTGTCTATAAAAAATTGTTTCTCCCTTCTGAGACCCTATTAAGTATTTTCCCTTGAACCTTCATTCTCCGTGATCTTGGAATCCTGAAACAGTTGATGGGTCCCGAATTAGTCTCTTTTTAGCCACACTGCCACCTAGGAGAGAAGAAAGGTATAAAAATCCCTTTGGCAGAAAAAAAAAAAAAAAAAAAAAAAAAAAAAAAAAAAAATCACTCCTTTTAGGGGCAATTTCGTAGGATTTTCTTGAGGGACATGATTAGAAGTTGTCTTTTTATAAAGATTTATCTTACCCTTTTGTGCAGCTCTTTTTCTTGCCATTTTCTCGATCATACCATAAATTTTATCCCGAGAACAAAAACCAACTGTCAGGTTCTCCCTAAACTAAAATGAAATGTTAATTATCTCTTAGCCATCCTAGTATTCTAGACAAGACTTGAAATATCACTTTTCATTATATAAATCCCTGTTTTTAGCACTTCATATATGAGCTTCCCATAAAATCGCACCAGAAGTTTCTATAAAATCTCACTCTGGGCTTTAGTGGCTGCCTAAAACTAGCTCTTTCTTTTCCTTTTATTCTTTTAACATGCTCATAATTTAAAATTCATCTTGGCTCTTTAATTTTAAATGAGCTCGAAGGTGAAATTTATTTGTGTCAGTGAAGCAGATGTTCAGCTTATAAGAGATTAGCAACTTTAGAAATGTGCATTTGTGAAACTTTATTCCCTGGCAAGCAAAATACAGAATTCCACTGCCTTTCCTGTTCTTCTGAGACCATTCTGTCCAGGGTTTTGTGACGCTTCTGTGAGCTCTAAGGGTACCTGGATTTTAAGTCAAGCCTGAACACCTTCTTGGTGTGTTTGAGAGGCTCTTGTCCCTGCACGAGAAGGCTAGCTTGTTGAATGACATCCCGCTGGAGTACCTGGGGGCTTGGTTTGCATGGAGATCCAAGCCCTATCCTAGAATGTTTAGAATTTCTTTTAAAAGGTATTTGGCAGCTGGATTATTTATTGGAGATTTCCATCTTTTTCCTCAAAATGTACATCTTTTGAAAAACTGTCTCCACTCTTCCACCTTCTGTCGTTTTAATGTCCATAACACAAAAGTTTTCATTGTTTCCATCCACCTCCTTTGGAACAGCTGGTCATCTTTATCTGATTGCGGGAGGTGAGGGAACTGGACGTGGTAGAAGGCATCCTTCAGCCTCGGGACTGTGCGAGTCCTATACCCACCCCTGGGCTTGCCTCTCTAAGCCTCAAGCACATGGGCGTGTTGGATGTGGATCACAGAGTGGTTCAGCTCCCTTCACGGACACTACCAAAAGTGTCATCTCTGCTCTTGAATAAGAGAAAAAAACTCAGCAGGTACTTGAAGGCTCTCATAGGGATGGGGTAATGCCTTTGTCGTGGGTTTGTCTGGGAGAGACACAGCCAACACCCATGTGAGAAAAGCTTAGGAAGACAGATGCTAGGTCATCTTAGTAGAGCCTCTTTTCTCAGTGGGAGGGTCTCAACACCAGGATGGGTTGCCTGATTTCCTCATGAGCTTCCTGCTCCTAGAAGCCTTCAGCACAACACTTTGTATTTGTTCTCCCAAATCTTACAAAAGAGTCTCCTGTCTGCTCATCGGGGGGATCTGGGCACATCCATGATTCTGTTCTGTGCGTGGTAGAACTCTCCATTGGTCTTCCTTGTCTTTCCCGATGCCCCTTCTGAAAGAGTGCCATGAACTCCCATTCCAAGCGATGACTCTTTTGGTAAAGAACACTTTGCTAAATATGAGTCTTTGCCATGTAAAAACACTGGCTGTCCACAGGAACCTTGAAGGAACCGTTTCTCAACACAGCATCCGTTGGCCTTTGGGGTAGGACTGTGTTGGAGTAGGAAAGTGTAAGAAACTAGGAGTGGATTTAGTGAACGGTAAAACTAATTGAAGTATTGAAAATGTGTGCTCTGTAAAAATTCTCTGCAAATGGATACTTTAAACTTGAATCGAAGGAACAACCCTGCATGGTTTTCAAGTAGTGAGCAGTTACCAAACATACAACTAAGCACAGGTTCTGTTCTTCTGGAGGAAATGTTGGCCCTCTGCAGGACGACTTGGAGTTGGGTGTTAGACATAACTTCCTAACTGGATAACTTAAGATGCAGATATTTTTAGAAAAGTGGGTGACTTACAAGGGAAGGGTCTAGATCTGTAATTCTGGAGGAAATGGCACAAGCCAGGACTTTCGACTTTGTTTTTAATGTCTGTGTCATTATCCCTGGATATTAAGAAAAAAAAAATAGTTTCCATAGTCACATAAATTTAAGAACTCTAGTTAAACACAATCAAGTAAGTTTCTTTACTGAGGATATGTTGAAGCTTTTCATATTCTCATGTGGGTTACACAGTGTTTCCCAAATTGGTATGACCATATGTGATTCCTATCTGATGGTAGGGAAACTGGAATTCTATCTTTGGATCTATGTCTATCACATCCTTATTTGTGTGTTTCAAACGCAGCCAGGATACCTTGTTTCTAGGCACTAACTCAACTTCTCATTGAAAAGACTATCATAAAAAATAGTTTTGTATGAACCAACTGTCCAATTACCAGGCATCTCTCGTGTAATAGCATAAATGTTTCATTTGCAATAAAATTTCAATACATTGGGTCACAGCTCCACCCAGAATACCCAAATATTGCACTTTGCATTAGGAAAACAGCAATTCTTCCAACTGCTCCTCTCTGCTGCCCCGCCCACAGTGCACTTGCAAATCTAGCAGCCCCCGGGCTCAAGTGCTTATCTGGAACAATCAGCTCTTTGGAGCCCAGCTTCCTGCCTCAAACAAGGGGTGAGTGGGCATCTAGCCATGCTCAGGTGGGGCCTGGATGGGATAGCCCATGGAAAGCACTTACCTGGCAAACCTAGGTAAGTGTCCTTCTCTAGGGCTTGGACACAGGGCTCTTTCCTCAGGAAGATTCAAGCTCCTTCTAGTCTTGCGGAGACATGTCCAATTATTCTTTTATATCTTCAGTTTCATTTTGTGCACTAAGTCGTGCAAAAGAGGCAAGCTACCTTATGTCATGGAGCCTGCAATACAGTCACGTAGGCACATAACCAGTGCCACTTGTGTAGAACTGCCAAGAGGAGTTTCGTGAGCGTAAAACAAAAATTTGACCCCGTTAGGTAGACCCGGAAAGGCTTCCAGAAGGAATCGGAACTTCAGCTGGACTCTGACAGAGTCCAGTGGGGAGGGTGTGTGTGATGAATAAGAGGTACAGAGAAACCCAGTGTGGCTAGAGATAAGATGGGGCTCGCCCATCAGGTTCAGGGTTACATAGAGGGTGGCGATATCTTGGGCTGTTCGTGGGCTTGCTTTTGGAACTGAGTTTCAGGCGACTCTGGGGCGTTTAACAAGAGTTTACAATTTACAAGAAAATAGCTGGAAAGATGGGTTGGGGGGCGCCTGGGTGGCTCCGTTGGTTAGACATCTGACTTCAGGTCAGGTCATGATCTCAAGGTTCAGGAGTTCGAGCCCCGCATTGGGCTCCGTGCTGACAGCTCGGAGCCTGGAGCCTGCTTCGGATTCTGTGTCTCCCTCTCTCTCTGCCCCTCCCCTACCCCTGCGCGCTCTCTCTCTCTCTCTCTCTCTCTCTCTCTCTCTCTCTCTCTCAAAAATAAATAAACATTAAAATATATATACGGGTGTGAATCCCATAAGCCGTGTCTGGAATGGAGAAAATTTCAAAAGTAATTAACTTAAAGGAGGGAAATACAACCGTGGGTGTAGGTGACATGACCCATGGGGACAGTTACAGGAGCTGTATGGAAGTGAAGAAGGCATAAGACTGAGTCTGAGGGAATTCAATATGTTGTAAAGGTTATAAAGGATAAATCTTCTAAGGAGTAAGAAGAGAGTCCAAACCGATGGGAGAAAAGGCCACAAAGTGTCTTATTATGTGTGTAACAGAAAGGAAATGCCCCAAAGAGGAGGAAAGCTGGCCACTGTGGACTCTGGACATCTGAACATTGTAGCACGGGGCTCTGCCCTGGCAGGTCCTCTGTCTCTCACGGTGATGTCACTCTTCCTTGTGGTGTGAGATGCCATGCCCGTGGTGCCGAAGTCCTGGTTCACTTTCTGTCCTGCACCTTTCCTCGAAGCCCCAGGGGGAATGCTCTGCCACCAGATTGGTCACCATCGTGACCAACTCGCTCTGGATGCCTTTGGACCTTCTGTGCAGCCTTGGGTGGGCATCTTGGAAGTCCGCCTGGGAGGCTCGGAGAGGACGCGTTATCTGTCAGCCCCTGTCCTCCATCCGTGAAGGGTAGCCCAACCCACCAAGCTCCCGCAACCGCACTTCTAGGTTGCATGCCTCTGAGCACAAAGGGGCTCTCTGGCTGCGTCCGGGGCCAGGTCTGGGGGCTCTCCAAATGCACCCACTTGGGGTTGGTTGAAGCTTGCATTCAGTGGCTGGAGTAGAAGTGGTGGATAAGGGCCGGGAGAGAATGGGGCAGCCAGAACAGAGAGTCCAAGAGCTTGGATACAGATAGTAAGTAAGGCAGTGTCTTGAGGACAGTAGGGGCCAAAGGAGAGACACTTTAAGTTTAATTTTATACTATTCATTGTGTGTGCCTTCCTCTCATTTACTTAGGCTCACTGCAGCGTTGTTCCATTTCCCAGTTGTTTGACGTGAACTGGTTTGTTTGCCCATTTTTACGTTGTCAGCTGCTCAAGGGAAGGTCTCTGATCTCCCGTCTACCCCCAGCCCTAGCCCAGGACCATCTTTGCACATTGGGTCCACAGGACGTCTCCACCCAGTTCGGGGGGCAGTCTCCCTCATCAGAGCAGCAAGCAGGCTGGGCCGAGAGTGACAGAAAGACAGCAGTCCCAGCCCTCAGGACCTAATGACAGCTACGCCTTCCCCATCCTGCTCTGCTTGTGAGAAACATGTCACTGGGCTCTACCCCCGCGTGAGTCGAGGGGATTCCACAGGGAG